TGGCGCATTTAATAACGATTCCAAAATGGTATAACACTTAGAAGATTACTCGTTAAGTTATGCACAATTTTTATTTGAAAAAAAAAACTGATGAAAATTTTTCAAAATTTCCTAATTAAACAGCGATTATGAAAACGCACAAGGACCCTTAAGGATAACTGTTTGCACAACAGTGGGCGTCAAAATGCTGCTGATGATGATTTACCTTTACAGCAAATGTTCAAACTGTTTTCCTTCAGTCGCAATACACGCTCGACATCTTTTTAAAAAAGATCGGGTTATTAAACGAGCGAATCCACAGTTATTAACAAACTCAGCTGCTTCCAATAGTCTTTGCCGTAGCTCAGCTACATTTTGAATCGGCTTGGAATACACTTTTTCTTTTACAGATCCCCATTAAAAAAATCTAAAGAATTCAAATCAGGTGATCGGGCTGGCCACGGTATTGTACCAGACCGCCTTATCCATCTGTCTGGAAAGTTTTGATCGAGAGTGCATAGTGCGCTGGGTAGCCATCATGCTGAAACCACATGTCCCTGTAAATACTCAGTGGCACGTCCACCAATAAATTTTGTACATGATTTTTCAAAAAATCCAAATAAACTTCAGCAGTCAAAGTCTCTGGGAACTCAAACGGACCGATTATTTTACCATTTAAAATTCCTGTCCAATGGTTTATCTTGAAGCGATATTGAGATTTATCTTCTCTCATCAAATGTGGGTTTGTTACGTGCCACTCGTGTAAGTTATGCAGGTTCATGTACCCATCTTTCTTAAATGTGGTCTCATCCGATCATAAATTTTTTTCAAAGAACTGTGGATCTTTCCTGTGTCTTTCTAACATTGTGCGACAAAAAGCAACTCGGGGCTCATAATCCCGGGGCAGGAGAGGTTGAACACGCTGTATGTGGTATGGATGAAGCACATCACTTACTTGCTATTGCACACTTTGAAACCGATCAATACTCCTTCGTTTACTGCGCATCTTTACATGTTCGTGCTTGTTGATTTCGTACTGTTACTAATTTTGGATTCGTGAACTGGACTGTTGATCGCTTGTGATTTGGATTTGGACTGTTTAATTGCTTTTCAAAACAACATTTGCTTTCCTTAGACTATCTTTGATAGTGTAATTGTGCAGTGCCGCTATGTCCGTGTACACCGTACAAGAATATGCTAACATGCACCTCATTTATGGGGAATGCAGATGCAACGCTAGTGCTGCAGCGAGACTTTACTGTGAGAGGTACCCGAATGCAGCTCGTCATCCAGATCATCGAGTGTTCACAAATGTGCACCGCTTACTGTTCTCAGAGGGCCAACTACCAAACCAATCACACGGTGAGGGAAGATCTTTCCTTCCTTACGAAGACGTGGTGCTAGGAGCTGTCGTAGAAGACCCGAGTACTTCAGTGCGTGCAATAGAACTAAAAACAGGTGTGCCCAAAAGTACAGCCCATAGAATCTTGCAAAAAAACGTGCTCCATCCATACCACGTACAGCGTGTTCAATCTCTTCTGCCCCAGGATTATGAGCCCCGAGTTGCTTTTTGTCGCACAGTGTTAGAAAGACACAAGGAAGATCCGCGGTTCTTTGAAACCTGCATAACTTACACGAATGGCACGTAGCAAATCCACATTTGATGAGAGAAGATAAATCTCAATATCGCTTCAAGATAAACCATTGGGCAGGAATTTTAAATGGTAAAATAATCGGTCCGTTTGAGTTCCCAGAGACTTTGACTGCTGAGGTTTATTTAGGTTTTTTGCAAAATCATTTAGAACATTTATTGGAGGACGTGCCACTGAGTATTTACAGGGACATGTGATTTCAGCATGATGGCTGCCCAGCGCACTATGCACTCTCAGTGAGAGAGTATCTCGATCAAAATTTTCCAGGCAGATGGATAGGGCGGTCTGGTACAATACCGTGGCCAGCCCGGTCACCAGATTTGAATCCGTTAGATTTTTTTTACTGGGGAACTGTAAAAGAAGAAGTGTATTTCAAGCCGATTCAAAATGTAGCCGAGCTACGGCAAAGACTATTGGAAGCAGCTGAGTTTGTTAATAACCGTGGATTCGCTCGTTTAATAACCCGATCTTTTTTAAGAAGATGTCGAGCGTGTATTGCGGCTGAAGGAAAACAGTTTGAGCATTTGCTGTAAAGGTAAATCATCATCAGCAGCATTTTGACGCCCATGTTGTGCAAACAGTTATCCTTAAGGGTCCTTGTGCGTTTTCATAATCGGTGTTTAATTAGGAAATTTTGAAAAATTTTCATCAGTTTTTCTTCAAATAAAAATTGTGCATAAGTTAACGAGTAATCTTCTAAGTGTTATACCATTTTGGAATCCTCATTAAATGCGCCAACTTTTAAGGTTACTTGCCAAACTCTCGTAGTACATTTTTTTCCAGTACAGCCAGTTAAAGTTGAGCAAAGTTTTACTTTGGAATACTTGGTTGGGAAATAAGTGGCAATATTTACTGAACGAGAAAAGTTGGCAGTAAGGTTGAGACACCGGTTTGAAGATGCATTATTCATCATTACATTGTAAAAATAAAATCCAAAAAAAGTTAATATTTGTAGTAACAGGAGTTGACAGACTGCCGTAGGGTGTGAAATTTCTATATTTTTTCAAAGACCTATAATTTTCAAAACACATACATAAAATTTTTTTAAATATTTTTCTGATAGCTGTTATGACTTTGCCTATCACCCGGTTTCGGCTTGACGTCGACTTCTGGGACACCCTGTATACTTCAAACCCTAATGCTTATGTATATGTATGTATACAAACCAGGTGGCAATCTGGCAATCACCCTATAAAACGAAAACATTAACCATGTGCGGAACACAGGGTAACTATTATTCTAAAAAGTGTTTGTTGATGCAAATTAAGTGTAGCCAGTCGGAGGTAAAATTTCTCCCAAACCTCACACCCAAAAATCACACACAACACGCCTAACAACCGTGTTATCGTACTATACGTGGACGGTGCTTATCTTCCATAGATTAATCGGATTCCTTGCTAAATATACTCAGTGACATTAGAAGTTTTACACCCAGAAAAAATAAATACTGAAGTGTCACTAGGCTATTTTATAACATTTCTTAATCGAATATACATCTGGTGAAACAGATGACATTTTGTGCTTATTTTGATAGCTGCTCAGCTTTCGTTCATTGTCCTACCGAGAACCAAGCGTAGACCATCTTGATGAGTCGCCAAATAGCAAGAAACATGGTTCATCCAACTGTTCAAATGGAGCCTTCTTTCAAATAAAAGAACAGACCAGCTTTCCATGTTGTTTTAAAATAGTGCCTTTCCGTAAAAAACTTTTTTGGCGCTGATGAGACTGATTCAAGAAGGCAAACTCCAGAGAGGTAGTTAAACCAAACCTGAAAATAGCAAGTAAGGTAGGGGGAACACTCCCCTAGATTATCATCCACTTTATATCTAACCGTGGCATATGGTGCATCTATTTTCATTGTTAGGTAGGACAAGGGATAGAAAAAGATATAAAAAAAAAAACAGTTGCTATTGCCATGTGTTACTCTTAATAAGCTATTGTGACTATAAGCTTCTTAAATGCGAGTATTTAAATATGACAAATCTAAATTTTCTCTTGAATGACAAACCATATTATTATTTTCTACAAAATAGCATACTGCATAAGAAGTAAGTTATCAAAAAAATCACATCACATTTTATAAAACAAAGTATCCGGAATGTTGAGCGATTCTCCCTGTACGGAGATGCATCTGGTTCTAATCGGCTTTTTACGTCAACCAACAGAGATTAAAATATGATGTATTGATACGTTCGGTGCGGCCGGGAATTAAAAGAACCCATTTTTCATTTTGATAGCGTATTTACATATCGGAACAAGTAAATAAGTCACATCGTTCAGAAAACGATATTTCAATTATTATGGACGGACGCGCCGAGCACCAGTTCATCGAGTAACAAAAGCTGAAAGCTGGATTACATTGCTATTGGGTATGAAAACATGTGGATTAAATATAGCATCGAAAAATTGTTTGATCCACTAAAAATCCAATGTGTATTTTCGACCAAAGTTGTCGTGTTTATCAGTTTGACTTTTTCCAATGTCTTTTATATTTTTAACCCTGTTATGTATTTATACAGTGTCTTATATATGCATGTCTTTCTTTAACGGGACTCCTACAATCATGAGCAGCATCTGCTGAGATAACGGGGGGGGGGTGAAAAGGAAACGAGGGTGGGCTGGGCCTAGACGGTCGTCGGCGTTACTTTAAAAGAGGAAAGGATGAATGTGGGTGCATACCAAGGTAAATTTTTATAATAACATAGCGATCTAGAATGTGAATCGGTTCTTATTTTGGTACTCAGCAAGTGATCATTTAGCATTTTTCTCACCTTGCTACTGTTCGTCGATATTGTGTTGTTGAATTGTTGTTGGTGTGACTGTCCTTGAGTGCCTTTTTTAATAAAGGCTGATAATGGACAATAAAGAGTCATATGCGACCATTTTAATTTTTTTCTGTCAATGATAAGGAACCCCTGTAAAATGAAAAACGGAGTTTCAGCAATTGTTACTTTTTCTTTTTTGCCTATAGCACCGTTGCCACTGGACTAAAACTACAAAGCTTTGGCATACTAGTAATTTCATAAAAATCCGAGCGGTTATTTCCAATTTTTCGTGATTACAATACAATTACAAATCGCGAAGTTGACCAGAAAAAGTACGCACTTCAACCTATCATAAAACTTGTGCAAAAACAAAATTTCAAAAAGTGCTCCGATAGCACCCTGCGCAATTATCTTCTCAACATACTGTATGAATTTCAGTCAAAAATATTGAAAAATGGAGTGTCAGTTTTGGAGCCTTCTTAAGCATTTTCGTTTATTTACCACTAAACTGATATTGTATAGGCAAAATTTCAATAACGTGCTGTTTTTAATCAGTTTAATGTACTCTTCCATTTTTTTCTAATATAATTTTCTTCTGTTTCAGGTAAGTATCTTCGTGAGTGGGAGTTTAATATCGGACGTAGCCAGGTAACTGTATACCTGTATACGTAATAAATAATAGAACATAAAGGGGGCTTTGACGGCTATCAACATCAAGGATCGATCGGGTTTTCATGGCCAACCAAGACAAAAAGTCCAAGTCCACCATAATTGCACCCGGCACACGCGATTCTACTCATAAAAAAAAAGAAAAAAGAATATAGCTGGGGAATATCGAGCCAGTCTGATGCTTCAGGTCGTTCATCTATACTAAGTGACATATAAATCCGAACACCCAGTTTAAATGGTTTTATTTTAATAAAATTTTGTATAAGTACCTACTTAATGAAGCATAATGATAAAAATTCCAAAATGATTGCACTGCTTTAAAGCCCTTTGACCTTTAATAATGTGCGGATGCACCCTGATGTGCTACGCATTCTCCAACGCGCCTAGGCATGCTTCTGATCAGGTGGTCAATGTCCTCCTGTGGTATCTCATTCCAGGCAACCACCAACTCCTCTCGAAGTGCTTCTAGAGTCTGAGGAGGACGTTGCAAATTGAGCGATCTCCTACCCATCATATCCCACACGTGCTCAATTGGGGATAAGTCGGGAGATCTTGGTGGCCATGGTAACAATGTGACATCATTATGTTGAAAGAAGTCTATTGTGACTGTTGCAACATGTGGTCGGGCATTATCTTGTTCTAAAGTTTGATCAGCCAGGGTGTCAAGATAGGGTAAAAGATGGGGTTCTAGAACTTCGTGGATATAACGCTGCGCGTTCATGTTACCTCTGATGAAGATTAAAGGTGACCTGGAACCATAAGCTATAACACCCCAAACCATAACTCCAACAGTGTGATGAACATGTCTTTCAACAAAAAACTGTGGTTTCCTCCTTTCACCACGTCGCCTTCTAACCCTGGCATGACCATCGTGCATGCTTAAACAAAATCGAGACTCGTCACTAAAGACAATACTGTTCCATTCCTGATCCCAGAGTGACCGTTGTCTGCACCACTCAAGGCGATTACGTCGGTGTTCTCGAGTTAAAGGGAGGACCTAGTGTGGCCGGTATGAAAACAAGCCAAAACTTCTCATTCGTCGGTAAACACTTCGCATGCGAATAGGTCTTCCGTGTTCTGCAAACCATTCATTTGCAATGGACCTGGTAGTGGAGAAACGGTCCCTTGAGGCCAATAATCTTAGGCGGCGATCTTCACGGTCTGTTGTTCTACGGCGGCGTCCAGTGCCCCTTGCTCTTTGCGTACGGCCTTCTCGAAGCCATGCCTGACAACACCTAACCACAGTGTCTACACTTCTTTGCACTCTAACTGCAATTGCCCGAAAAGAAAGTCCAGCTTCCCGAAGTCCCACTATACGGCCCCTATCAAACTCACTAAGTTGACGAAATCGTACAGGTCTCCGTACTCTAGGCATCGTAACCGATCGTAAAGGATGTCAAGAACCAAAATCCGCCAACGTTGATTCTTTACTGCGGCTGAAATATTTATTTTTAGAGCGTTAGTGAATTAAAAAAAAAGCAGTATAAAAACCGGAATGTCCCACTGATAAGGCTGAAAATTTTTTCACTTGTTATTTACAGTAAGATAAATACATTCACCAACTTTTATTTAAATAAAACCATTTAAACTGGGTGTTGGGATTTATATGTCACTTAGTATATTATGGTATGAGACGGCTGTGATATCATAACATACTTTGGTTTATGTTAGAATGTTGATGATAAATATATGTTTTACTAGCTAAAATATTGCGCATTCAAAATCATTCCAAGTTAGTAATATATGAGTATTTTTCGGTCACTCAAATTCCTACAGGCGATGAAGTATTGTAATAACGAAAAAAATTCAAAAAATGGCATACGCGATTCTTTAAAAATTTAAAAAGCGTTTAACAGCAAGTGGGAAACAGTGTAACATGCTTTTATTAGAAATTAGAGACGAAGGAGTTTCAGTACCGTTCAATGATTAGGAAGTATAAAACGGTATATTTCCAATCGGAAAAAATCATTTCTCAATTTTTGTTCGTTTTATTAACAGCAAGCCACATCTTGTTTTTGAAAATGCCTTTCTATGTGGCGACTTTGACTATCATTCCTGGTACTGTCTTCAGAGGCTGAAAATTCCGAAACACTAAACTCGTGTTTCGCTATGGATGGTTTAATATTTTTTTTTTCGAAAAAAATAGTCAGTCACCTATGCCTATTTTCAAATTTTCCATGAGTCAAAATAAGCCTTGCCAAAGAAACAAAATGATGCATAATGTGTTTGATATGCCAATCAGACACGATGAAACCATATTTTTGAAATTTTTAAATTTTTTTACATCTCCAGAAAGACGTTTGATTCCCTGAAAGCTATTTTAATTTTTACATAATATAACACCGCTGCTATTTGAACGATTTTCTAAAATGAAGTAGCATTACCTACTATGACCTCAAGTCATCGTAAAACAAAAAACATACAGGGTGTTTTCACTGTTGAGTCATTTATTTTAACTGCTTGTAGGACTCGTCAAAAGGATTGATATACCAAAAATCACCTAAATAAATGCTGGTTATGTTTATACCTTTAATGTTGGTATATGCTGTTGAGTAGAGCGCCAAAGGTACTCTAGTTGCCAGGCTCAGGTTCATTAACCTCCCGATATACGAAAAAGAAAATCTTATTCCTTCACAACCGATTACACCGGTGATCCTTTTTCCCAATTTTCCACGTTAACAATGCCTACCTTAGTCTCGCAAACGCACACTTTTTTATCATGTGTCTGTCCTGTCGTTTGTTTTCACAGCGGCGACCGTCGCTATCTACGCTCAGACCCGTTCCGCAGATATAATCTCAAAGATGATTAGTACAGTCAAACTAGAACATAATCAGGAGTTTTTGAAATGCATGTATGAGCGAACACGAGGACATGATTTCGATTCTCAATTGAAACACTTCTACTATCTCCCTTTATCAGTGTGTCTCAAACATCTCGTACATATGCGGCCATTGACCTGTTACGTCAATTATTTTGGTCATTTAAAGTGTATCTAACGAAGCTACAAAGTAATCGTAAACAGTGGTTGATTCGTGATCAACGCGTGATCGGTAGCCATGGCGCTCTGTCGGCCTCTTCCTGATTGGCTTGTAGCGACGAGCCTCCAGACAAAGTCGCACGGTTGCCACGCTCGGCGAGTTTTCGCCAGAGTGGTTGATCACATTCGCATGGATCACAAATCAATCTGTTGGTGCAATACGTGCAATAACTGTTGTAAAGGACATTATATAACAATAAATGGCATCACAAAGGTATATTCCAATTTGATCTGCAGCAAATTATGAACGGCATATACGGAGATGCGAAAACAAGCTCAAAAAGGTGAAGAAAATTTTTGTGCAATCTTTATAGTTAAATTTTTCCTAAGAGATAGCATCAGTGAGGGAATTTTTTTCTATTGTCTTATTTTTCACATTAATGCGATGTCGAGGTATGTGGCCCTATCGCAATTGAAAATAAGGTTTCGATAATCCTTCCATAAAGTTTCGATGAGTACATCTGAAATAACCTTGAGGTATTCTTCAGGGAAATACAAAAATCTCCTTTTGTGTTTTTTTGTGCAGATTTATCTATTAAAATCCTATCCGCAATCTATTTTCCGTGCACACACCTTCAACCGAATGTATGCCATATATGATATTACCGTTTCCAACTTTCACCAAGGTTAATAGGAACCATAACAGCTCCCTACCCTTCCCCCCTATAAGAATATCGATTTGTAGCCTCACATTTCAAGGTTAGACTTCTTGTAATGTTTCTGTTCAACATTAGGCGATTTCTGACAATTTTCCCAATAAAACATGATCATTGTGACATTAAGCCTGGCAACGCTGCATAGTAGAGGGAACTCTCAGCATTACGTTGATGGTTCGTCACCACGCACAGGATTGTAATCAGTTACGGATACCCGTTTATGAGCGCGAACGTTTTATGCACGTCTTGACTTGATTTTTCTTGCGGAAATTTAATATTAGTCTAAAATGTCTGACACAGATACAGCTGATGAAGTGGTTGAAATCAGCTTAACGTCACCCAGAAAAAAGGGCTAAAAAGCTTCGTCTTAGCGCAGGTGAAAAACAAATTATTCTAAATATCTACAAGAACCAGATGCAAGAGAATAGTGAATTGGCTATAGAAAATATCGTATGTAAGGTTGCTGAAATTTCTGGAGTAGGTCGATCAAGTGTTTACAAAATCTTGAAGGAATATAGACAAAATCACTCACTATCTGAGCCAAAAACATATCCAGCGAGAAAAAAAATCATCGAAAAAATAGATAACTTTGAAGAAAAGTACATCACTTTTTCTTCAGGAATGAAATACCTACAATAGATAAAATATTGAAGCAAGTGAATGATGATGAGGACCTGCCAAATTTTAAAAGATCTACGTTCCATAAGCTGTTGAAAGAACTAGACTTTCGATTTTTGAAAAGAGGAAGGAATAGTTTATTGATAGAAAAGGAGGAAATTGTTATCTGGAGGAGAGAATACCTTAGAAAAATTAGGCAATTCCGCGCTGAAGGAAGAAAAATTTATTATTTAGACGAAACATGGGTGAACGCGGGGCATACGCAGGGAAAGGTTTGGGTAGACAGATCTGTGAGGTCCTCAAGGCAGGCTCTTTTAGACGGGATTGAAAAATCCTGCAGGTAAGTTTCGAAGTATATGAACTTTTTTGGATGCAGATAATTCATTTTCTGATCGAATCAATGATTTGGAAGCTCGGAACTCAGTTTTGCTATCTCATCCAAGTTTCTGAGTATTTCCTTCACCCAAAAACTAATCTAAGACCCTATCCTACACTAACCTAAAAAGAGTAAGTTGCTTAATTTCGTCATTTAGTGCGCTCGCTGAGAAGTAAAATAACTAATTACTTTCAGGCAAGGGAAAACGCCTGATCATTTGCCACATAGGTAGCGTAGATGGATTTGTTCCTGAAGCATTGTGGGTATTTGAATCCAAAAAAACTGGAGACT